TGGCAGAGCGCCATTGTTCAGCCCTATCCCATGGCTCATATGTCGCGGATACATCAAGGGGGGAGGCTGCTCCGTTAGTATATATTCGCGCGGGAAAAAGTTTAAAAGTTCCTTGGCTGATAGCCGATCTCGAGGCCTTGAGCTTAAGCAGACGGCCACCAGCCTTCGATAGTAATCTGGTACATCCACGTCTGGGCCCAGTATTAATGGACGAGGTTGCCGTTCGGGTTCATCCTCTTCCATCGCCAGCGCCCATAGTGTCATTCCTAGCTGGTAAAGATCTGTCTTGACTCCAATATACATGGAAATTCGCTGGTTGCTTTCAATCTTCGCAGCAATTTCAGGAGGCTCCCATCCTACAGGGCAGCCTCGTCGGTTGATATCTATGATCTGGGCATCATCGTTGGCATCCACCACAATATTCGACAGAGTGAAGTCCCCCTGCACATAGCCAGCCTCATGGATCTCACAAAGACCCCGAACAATTTGTTTCGCCCAGCGCTCGCGTTGTTCCCATGAGATTGTACCTCGGTGCTCGTACAGAATATCAACCAACGCTCCCTTCTCCGCGAAGCTGATGAGCAGGCCCTTGACCACTTCTTCGTGTTCGTTGACGACCACTCCTTCCACCTGGACAACGTTCGGGATATCTTGCAATGCATGGAGCGCGTTGATCTCGTATAAAAACTCATCCACCGTGTCAGGGCCGGGTATCTCCTTTTTGATGTAAGACTTCCCATTCAACCGTACATTATACACAAATCCCGACAAGTGCGCCTCAAAATGCAGCTGATCCTCTCGGACGAGTCGAGAGTCGGGCAAGTGGCCAATGCAGGATATGGGCGGGTATGGGATGATCTCGTTAACGTCTTCCGTTACGTGTACGTGCAATCGGCCATCCCGAGTTTCCAACTTCAGATTCGTGACCGTGTCGTAGAATTGGATTTCAGTTAATGATTCGCGGATTGATTCATAGATCCGGGCGCATTTGTCTCGTTGGTAGCGTAATTCCTTCAGGTCTTGCTCAAGCGAATCGGGAGAGGCGCCGCGGTAATCGCAGGAGATGGTAACCCTTCGCCACCGATTGGGAGTCTCTGCATATGTGACGAAGAATTTTTCACGCTCGGAGCGGTCGCGAAAGTGCATGCTCAAATTCAAAATCCACCGTTTCTCCAACTCCATCTCGATGATATCTTCGGGCGGCTCTTCGGGTGCTTCCGTCATAGCTGGATAGGGGTCCCATTCCGAGCGGAGATCGCTCTCCTCATTCGCTTCTGGAAGCTCTTCAACCGTGGTCTCGTCCGGATCGTGCCAGGGAACCTCGGGAGCGGACAATCTGGGGTCGACAGTGGGCGGTGGAGACCGGCTCCGAGTCCGTTGGGCGCTCAGTGTGCGAGGTCGGTCGGCGGAAGCGGCACGACGGGGCTCTGGTTCCAGGGGGGCTAGATTGTCACGTCGCTCGGAATTCTGTCTTTTGAACGTGGTAGACCTAGGAAGACCGACGCCGACCTTTCTTGAGAGTTTGCGAGTGAGGTTGTCATGAGGTTTGGTGTTGCCAGCATTGGCATTGTTTGGATCATTGATGCTGTTATTTTTGTTGTGATGATTGGGGAAGGAAGCGCCCCCCGCAGTAGACTGGGAAGAGTCTCGATCATCACGACCCAGCCATCTGCGCAAACCAAAGCGATGCCACATGCTCTGTTTGGGACGAGGGAGGTCGGCCTTTTCTGGATCCAGCAAAAGACCCAGAGACCTAGTCGGACTACAAGAACTGTCTGCGATCGAGATGGCCATACGGCACGGCACAATTGCTAGTCCGAGGTCGTGCAAGGAATGAGTAAGACACCCCAGTGGCTGGTATGGCGATGTCCATAAGAATTGAGACGGATTCGCCCTTGAGTCAGTAGTGTGGGATTATTTCGCTTGGACCTAGGGGAAAGGTAAAAAAAAAATAAAAAATAAAAAAATAAAAAAATAAAAATCTTATTCAAGGGGTGGCTCGAATTGGCACGGCCTGGTTGTGAAAATCAAGAAAAGAGACTATGGAACGAAGAAAAAGATTAAAAAAAAATAGAGTAATTAAAGTCAAAAAAGGAAATGTAAATCGTTCAACGAGAAGTCGGTGAGTGACAAGTTGTTGTTGTTGTTGTTGTTCGTCCAGGATTTTGGCCTCAGTCCCACTAGTCGCACAATGTCGGATATCACTGATGAGGACAGTGAGCGGCAAAGTGATCAATGTTCATGGGAGGAAAGATAGTAATTGATAGATAGAATAGACAAATAGGATAGGTACAGACAGGAAAAAGGATGGTGGAAGAAGATGAGGATATGGTGACAATGCAATCAATTGATCGGCAAATGTTGACTGTTGCCCAGCTGCACGGGCTGGTTGGCGGTTATAGTCAGTGGTGGTTGGGTTTGGGTTGTTTTGAAGTTTGTTGGAGGTTTTAACGGTGCATTTGCAAAGCCTTCTGACTGGTTTTAAGGGTCAAGGTCACTACGATAAGTGCATTAGGTTAATATTCAAGGCTGTCGGTACCTAACGGGAGGAGTGAGAGCACTAGTAGTACGACTCGTTACTAGACTTACTACACCGCCCACAAGACTCACCACCATCACCATCTCAATAAGATGGGATGACAACAAGAAAAAAAGAAAAATCAAATAAATAAAATTTGTTATTGGAAATTAAAATATAAAGATTAATTCAATATTAAAAGCAAAGGCCAAAAAGGGGTGGGGGAGGAGTGAATTACTTATGGAAAACCCAATGGAAAATTCGTGGAAGAAATCTAATGCACAAATCAGATGCCCTTACGTCCGATCGGATCCCCAAAGCGTCAATTAGAGACAAAACAAAAAGTGGAGATGCACTGCGGCCTGACAGTGCCTGAACCATCCCAGTCATCCTCTAGCAATGATGAGACCAATATTATTGACCGCTATCCGCAAGGTCATGTTGATTACTGTTTCAGTTTCTCCATACGTCGTCATATAAGAAGAGTCTCTCATTAACCCGGGCATGGCGGCTCATCGAGTCTGTCTACCATAGCAGAGTCCCTTGAGGTTAGCCCGGACTACTACTAGTACTAGTACTACTAATCCTTTTTCTTCGGTAATATCAGCCCTATCAAAGAGTCTCGTTTCAGTTCCACACCCGAACGTTTGGAGTATAGATCATGATGCATATGGTCACATTAGTGAGTATTAATTTACCATAAAAGATCTAGTACGAAATTAGCACGAGAATCGATAGGAATTAATATCAACATATCAATTAACACAATCCACTACTGCAAATGCATAGCCCAGGTTCTTCTCGAAGTCCGGTTCCTGCTCACCAAATATCCGATCCACCCTATAGCTTCCCTCTATGAGGTGGCCCCAATGACCTTCGTCGATGAGATGGGTTTCGTCTTTATTTAATTGTTGTCGTATGCTCTTCTTGACATATACTCTCCATGGCTCCATCCCATCTAGCCGAGCCTGTCGCTCTAACCGCCAATATGGGTATACAGGAGCGTTCACGGCCACGCTGTCAGAATAGAATAGATTTTCACCCCACAAACAGGTCTATCTCACCAGATGTCACCCCTCGGGATAAAGATTGAGCCTACTAAGAGTCTTACTGTACATAGACTACTGACTAGTGACGAGTAGCAAATAGTGATAGTTTCCATTCGACAAACTTTTTCAAAGTGATGCTCCCGTAGAACAACTCAACCCCTCGCAATGCATCCAATCATCTTCCTTGTAGCTTCCTCGACAACCAGTCTCCAGAGAGAACCCTCCCGATGGAGGTCACGTTCTTTCCTACAGATACAGGACAACTGTTGCATCAACGATGACACCTCCTTAGTTGTCTTTCTTTTTCCCAGTTTCTGTCTCATACCCCCTTGTGAGGATCGATGTTAATTAAACAAGCCTCGGGACACTTTGCGCACCTGCAATGGACGCCTATCTGCAGCAGAGCTGCAATTCGGTGCTCTCTCATCATCGACTCTCACTTCTTCATAAGACCCCCGGGAATAAATTCACAAGAATAAGCCATTTTGATGCTGACCGGATGCTGATCGTAAAGAACAGGTAGTCAAGATACGCTGCGGAGAATACAGGGTCCCCCCAGCCCACGTTCTTCTTTGGGACTCCTGCATTGGGATGGCATCATTGGTCTTCATCCAGTTGTCGGCACGCTGGGAACGTGTCCTCGGAAGGTTGTTCAAAAGATAAGCCCCAAATGTTGATTCGTTCCCCAGCTCCCGACGGTTGTCTACTAAATACTGTCCAACCGTACCGTTGAGGTTAATGGGCATGGCTTCCTTTCCCGTTCTAGTCGCTAGAGATCATCACCTGACATGCCAGTATATCTTTTGAACTGGACGTCAGACAACCGACACTAGCCGCAACTCAGCCTCAATACTATATAGCTTATGGTGCGTTGGAATGCGATGATGCGAGGCCTGAGTAAGATTTGCTGATTTTCATTCCACCCTGAAGAAAAGTGGGTTAGCAGGATAATCCCACCACTGTCCAAGACCTTTCAGACTCCATCCCCTTCCACCTGAGGTAGCCGTTCATCTCAAGATCTCTCAGATGCATTACACCATACGACTCTGATATGATGTCAGATAAACAGGTCATTCGATCTACGCTATACCATTGTTACGCTGCCAGATGTCAGTGTTAGAACCCTGAAGGGTTAGCTGTGAAAGCAAAGTCAGTCAAAGCTGAACTTTTGACTCTGACAACTTCATTGGACCAGATGTTACCCTGTACGTGGGTCGCCACCTTACCGGTGCGTCATATTCTGGGGAAGGGTTTCTTGACAGGCGTTGTCATCTCTACCAACATTCATTGTGATAGGAGTTCCCTGATCCGCCACAGTGCCCCTTAGTTCAAATCCTAATGTGTCAGGAGCTTTGCAATAGACACCAGCAAGCCGGCCTGGTACGTATTAAGCCAAGAGATGCAGACCCTGGTTTGCTGAAAAATATCCGAGGTCTGCATTAGACGCAAAGGCAAGATTGCTGTCTTGAGTCTTGACTCCATCAGAAAAAGTTCCCAATCACATGAGGCAGCAGAGCTACAATTGTAATGAGTGGCAGCTTGAGTAAGCCCCTAGGCTCGAGGTCAGTCTACTTTCGAATAAAAACTACCTATTGGATTAGATTGCTATTCAGACTTGCTCGGATCTACCATACATCCTTGATGCATGCGAACAAAGCAATATCTATGACCGCTAATAACTCCTCGCAGGTTGTTCATATGGCTCTCAATATCGATAGTATATACTATACTAAGATTCAGAAAATAGGGCCCCGCAATTGAGCTTTTCCTCTTGAGGCCACCACCTATATAGCTTACGGAAGGCATTAACGAACAGAAACCGTCTATGAAGTGCCAAAGATCTACACCAGCAACCATTCCCTATCATGTCAAATGCCTCCCAATTCCGTGCAACAACCCAGCCACAGCGTATACCCAAGAGTAAGAAAAACAAAAAAAGTAACCGACTCCAAAAACCAGCCCTGAACCTATAATTAGAGCAGACATAGTAACCCATTGTAACACGCACAATATCCCCAACTCTCCACTTCCCGTATTCCCGCTACACTCATCAGGTTGGCAGCCATCAGGTACGCACCCCCCAGCACCAGATGACAACCAACACAACAACCCAATAGACACTGACCCGAAGACTAACTCAGTACCAATTGGTCCCCCCACCACTCTGCCGAGTAACATAACAGCCCAGGGCCCAACCCGTAGACAGCCCTGAGAAACCTTGAGATTTAGCTGACGGTCACGACATGAGTTTAGTTCCAGATAAACACATGCGATTGTCAGGATTGTTAGCCTATAGATAGAGATTACAGGCCTGACTGTCCGACGCGTTTGTGTCATGTGGAACCCAACAGACCAAATTCCAAGAAATGTCAGGGCGAAAATACGACATAGGCTCGACGACGGTGTTCTGTTATTCCCAGAGTAACAGGGTATATACTATAGTTGTACACGTCGGCGACACCTAGGTCCAAGCTACACCGGTTCAGCCTTAGTATGAGAGGGTTCGGTGTTCCTGCCATAGCTTGTGTTTGGTCGAGGTGTTTATGGGGTTGGAGACGTATGTAAATAATGGGTGGTGGTCTTTTCTAGGACAGAGTTGGACATGTAGCATCAGGTAGATCTTGTCGCTGCTGATTACTTTTAAAGAAGCATTGTGTTTAGTCCCTTATCTCCCTAGATACTCTCCTCGGTCACAGCCGTGACAGGGTCAGGGCATTGGGCTTTCAGCCATATCTATTGGCAGCTTTGGGGATCATGGGGTGTTGCTATAGTACTTGAACTGCAACTGTTCCCTCGATTTCTCCTAATCGTCGCCTTGGCGCATCAAGAGTCGAGCGAAGAAAGCCATGACAATGGTGAAGGGGGAAAGCAATGATACAAATTAGGACACTGTTTGGTTCCTTAGGAACTCGACTGAACTACATTTACCAAGCAATCGTTTCCTGGCCCTGTGGGATGTGATCTTGTTGGTTTCTGTGATAGACGCTTCTTTTGACGTGACTGTTTCATACTATAATATCGTAAAAGAGAGATATATATACATAAACATACATACAAGAGATGATGGCATCCATTTCACCTTCTCAATCAGAGTGGAGTGGTCGTTGGGGGTGACTTCTCTTCTATCATAGCCGTTTCACCGGGTATTGAATCCGAGGAAATCACTTCTATCGCATCCATGGCTGAGTCCCAACCCAGCTCAAATACAAATCTTTCAGTGACACATCAATGAAGCAAAAGCAAAAAAGTAAAAAGAGAGGAAAACTCCGACCATGCATTCCGCGATACAACGCCTGTACGTGACCAGAAAGAAAAAACAGCAAGGTACCATGGCAAGCGTAGTATATACCAAATCAGATCAAGAGCATCAGGGAACTAATTCAGTCATCGTCCTCACTGTCCTTAGTCGACTTGTTCTTAGACTTTTCCGCGAGCTCCTTCTGCCAGATGTGGTTGGCTGCGTCCTTGTCTAGACCAGTAAAGAGTAAGTCGAATACCTCCGAGTACCAGCTCACTGCATGACCTTCAATGCCTTCTTTGATGTTCTGAACGACGGTTAGATCTTGAAGCCAGAGTTGAAACAGGAAACCAATTACTCACCTCAGGCAGCTCCAGCCAATCCGACGTGTTGTCGGCGGGGAAGATGATCTTTGTGGCACCGGCACGACGAGCAGCAACGGTCTTCTCGCGCAACCCTCCAATACGCAAAACTTTGCCAGTCACCGTCAATTCTCCAGTCATAGCAATGGTCGGGTCGAGAGAGTGATTCAGCGCCAAGGATAGAAGGGATGATGCCATTGTAATACCAGCCGATGGACCTAATACTGTTAACAGGATGTATAGGGAATAACGCAAAAATGTGACTTACCATCCTTTGGCACGGCACCCTCCGGGCAATGCATGTGAAGCCTTGCCTTCTCGAAGAACTTATTCTCCGGGAACTGCTTAGCCAGCACCGACTTGGCGAAGGAGTACGCGATATGGGAAGACTCTTTCATCACATTTTGGAGATTGCCGGTGATTTCGATACCCGGTCGGGATTCAGAAGTCAAAGCGTTCTCCAAGATGGACTCAACATACAGCGCCGCGCCTCCCATACTGGTCCAAGCAAGGCCCATTGTGACACCGGGTGGGAAGGTTTCATACAGCCTGTCGGACGTGAAAACCGGGGGTCCAACGTAATCAGTCAAGCTGTCCTTGCCGATGCTGAGCTGCACCCCTTCTGGGACTTTAAGGGCAACACGAGGTGTTTCAGTCGTTGCTTTCTCTGATTCGGTGGTGGCGTTAGCAGAGTCAGCAGACTCGCTCTCCTTCTTTGACTCCTCCTGTGCAGCCTTGCCCTCATCGGTCAGAGCCTTGTCCTCGGCGAGCACGTCCTCTCCAAGATCACGCACGATCTTAAAAGCAGCCTTGCGGTATACTTTCTCGATTTGCTTCTTGAGATTTCGAACACCACTTTCACGGCAGTAAGACTTGATGAGCTCCTCAATTGCTTCCTCCTTCAGAGTAACATCGACGTCCTTTAAGCCCGTCAATTCCCTAGCAGCAGGAGCAAGGTAGCGCTGGGCAATCGCCATCTTCTCATCCGCAACATATCCGGAGAGCTCAATGAGCTCCATTCGATCGAGCAGAGGGCGGGGAATCGTATCAGTGACATTGGCCGTGCAAACGAAGAGAACCTTGGACAGATCCACTGGGACATCCATGTAGTGGTCCAAAAAGGAGGAGTTCTGCTCCGGGTCAAGAAGCTCGAGGAGTGCAGAAGACGGATCCCCTTGGTGGCCGCGCCCAATCTTGTCTATTTCGTCAATCAAGATTAAAGGATTTTCCGTCTGACATTTCTTGAGGGCTTGGATGATGCGTCCTGGAAGGGCACCAACATAGGTTCTACGGTGCCCCTTGATTTCCGCAACATCCGTCAAGCCACCAACGGAAAAGCGGTAATACTGCCTGTTCAAGGCCCGAGCAATTGACTTCCCAATACTAGTCTTTCCAACACCAGGTGGTCCCACAAGGCAAAGAATCTTGCCTTCCACGGTTCCGCGAAGTTTTCCGACGGCGATGAACTCGAGAATGCGGTCCTTGACATCCTTCAAGCCATAGTGGTCTTCATCTAAAACGGTTGTTGCGTTTTGGATGCCAAAGTTCTCAACACTCTTCTGGCCCCAGGGTATCTGTGTCAACCAGTCGAGATAGTTGCGGGTGACATTGAACTCTGAAGCAGCCGGTTCCAGATGAGCCAGTTTATTGAGTTCCTCATCAAAGACTTTCTTGACAGCTTCTGGCATAGCAAGCTTCTCCGCCTTCTCTTTAAACTTTTCAACAAGCTTGTCCTTGCCATCGGATTCAATACCTAACTCTCTCTTGATACCCTTCATCTGCTCCATGAGCCAGTACTCACGTTGGCGCTTCTGAATCTTAGCCTCCACATCCTTGGAGATCTTTGACTGAAGTTGAGCGTTCATTAACTCCTTCTTCAGTACCACTAAAGCTTTAGGAAGTCTCTCCTCGATATTCATTATTTCAAGGACCTCTTGCATCTCATGCAGTTCTCCGGCAGAAACAGCAGCTGCAAAGTCAGCCAACTTAGATGGCTCGTCACTCAAGTTCCCAGGGAACTGGTCTGTGTAGAAGGCGGAGATCTGATCGCGGAACAGAGGATTCAGGCTGGCGATTTCCTTGCAGACATTGACAATCTCACTGGTCACTGCACGAATAATGGCGCTCTTCTTGTCATAGGGCTCCTCCGCCAGATTCTCTACGTTAACCAGGCTGACTGGATACTTTCGCAAAAACGATGTGGGCTCGTAGTGATCCTTGGGTGCGAGTTCCTGTGTTCCCTCCTCAAAGCTGGCTACAACGTCACCTTGTTTCTCAGACGGCTTGTCTTCTGTGGCAGAAGCCTTCGTCGATTCACTGGGTGGCAACAGGGACGAGAGCTTGATGCGTCGGTGAGGATAAAGCACAGCTGTCACACCACTAGCTTCTCCGCGAAGAGGATAAGCAGCAGTAATCTGAGCGAACACTCCAACATCGTATACGTCATCAAGATTTTCGATCACGTCTCCATCCGCGTTCTCATCCTTGAATAGGAAAGCTCCCACATAAGGCTGCCCACGCTTCATCATGTCCTGGATAGCCATTGCCACATTCGGATCTCGGATAGTAATAGCTTTGTAAAAGCCCGGGAATAACGGGCGCTTCGCGATGGGAATGGCCATAACCTGAGGATACACTTCAGGAACAGAAGGCTTCTGCAAAGCCTTGTCGCTGGAGCCCTTCTTGCCTTTCTTTCCACCATCTTCATTACCTCCGCTGCTTGCGCCACTAGGCTTGGAATCTGAGCCGCCACTGACAGGGATAGGGGACGGCGGTTCATTTGAATTTCCCCTGCCTTCAGCTACATTATTAGGCCTCTTTCCATCATCCTCCTGTCCTCGTTGCTCCTTGTCCACCGTCTGCTTCTCTCTCCGTTTTGTAGATCCCGATGTCGGAGCTCCGGGTTCTGTGGATGAGCCATGTTTCCCTGACTGATCGGCTACTCTGCGTCGAGATTCAGAAGTGCGTTCAACATCCTTATCCTCGTTCTTTTCCTGCTGCTCTTTATGGTCCGGATCTTCCTTGCCGTCTCCGGGTGGGGGTTTCTCTCTTCGGCGAATGGAGCTTGACGAGAAGCTGCGGGACGGAGGGAGAGAGCGGGAGAGGCGCGACGAAACTAGGATTGACCGGGCACTGGCATTGTATCTCGGCGAAGCGAGCAAAGGCCGAATAATCAATGGACGCGGTGTCTGGTGGAGCGCAGCTCTCCAGGGGAGGGACTGGCCGCGGAGCATGCTATAGTTGTAGCTGCGAATATGGGAGAAGACGAATTAGGGATATAGGGAGAATATGGTACAGAAAATAATACAAGAATGCAAAAACCCTCACGGGAAGACTAAAAAAGAAAGAGGGATACGGAGAGAAATGTGAGGCTTCGGGAGCAATGGTCAGACAGCAGCTTAGTTGAGGTAGAGTGATTGATTACCGAAGCAAGAAGCCTTTCATCATCATCGTCTCGGTACATTGTTTCTCCGGTCGGGAAACTTTTTCGAGCGGAACGACTCGAAGCTTCTAAGTTTCCCCATTATCAGGAGGCGGCAAAACTCGGCTTAAAACACCCATTGGCGTGCTCTGGTTTTCCAGGTCAATACCATTGATTTCAAATCATCCCCCTCTCCTCCTGACTCAGTCTGTCCGTTGGGTTAATGCCCGTTCATTTCACAACATGAGCGCTACTTCCGCCGCAATGCCTAAGGCCGCGGCTATTCCCGCCCGTTTACTCC